GTCCCCTGTAAAGTTATAAAGAGGGATTGAGGCGGGTTTCAGGTTGGCCTTATCCAAGTTCATTCTTTTGAAAGCGGTCTGGAACAGGATGTTCACAGCACTTCCATTGTCCACTAGCATTCTGCGGACGTTATGGTGCCCTATGAGGGGCATGATCACAAGAGCGTCGTCGTGAGGATGATGCAAATGGGCTGCCTCCTTTTCGGAGAAGGTGATCGGCTCCTCCTTGCGAACCTTTTGTGGTCGCTGCGACGTGTTCATCACCCTGATTGGGTCGTGATGAGCCTCGCAAGCATATCTTTCTTGGGCACCTCACGGGGATTATGTTAACACTACTATACCCTTTGCGATCACGACGTTTTTTTTCCTTGCTCCCCTTGACTCTTCTCTTGCGTGGGAGCGGAGTCGTCAATATACTCCTTGAAGTGCCCTTTCTTGATGAGCTTTTCGATTGCTTATTTTAGAGCTCGGCACTCATCTGTGTGATGTCCGTTGTCCCGATGGAAGCAACAGTATTTTTTATTATTTCTGGCTGTCGCAGGAGTTTTCATGAGCTTGGGCTCTCTGAGCAGACTGCCTTCCTCGGATTTATCGAGAGTAGTCGATACAGATGAATTCAGTGGTGTATAATGGTTTCTGTCGCCATCGTGACGAGGGACAGGAGCATAAGACTTTTTGGGCTCGTAGCGAGGTTTCTTCCCTTTTCGTTGATCGTCAGCGTCCCCTCTGTGATCAGCTCTTCTACTTTCCTCCTGACCAGACATACTGCCTGAAGTGCCTTAATCACGACGGCGGAGTACTGCCAATGAGCTTTCTATCCGAAGGTACTTCCCCGCAAGGCCATAGAATCGGGTGAGGGAAACATCATCCTCAGCCTATAATTTCTTCCATAGGTCGGTTTGCGAACAAATTCCTGCTATGATGAGAGTCTAAACAGACTCTTCGGGAGTATGAGCTACCTTGTTAAATTCCCTGTGGAAACGATCAATGTAGGACTAGAGGGATTCATCCCTTTCTTACCTTATATTGCTGAGGTAGCTCAAAGGCATCAAGAACTTTCGATTTGCTTGAAAATGCCTTAGGAACGTCGCACTCATCTAAGGCCACGAACTGATTGATCCCGCTGGAAGCGACCTGAACCGCCGTTTGGCATGAGAGGTCAAAGTCACTGCCAAACAACGACATTTTGCTAGATCTGAGACCTGGTGAAGCTCTATCAAGTCGTTAAATTCATATAAATGATCCTGCGGATTGGAATTTCCATCAAACGCCCGCATGTCGGGCATCCTGAATCCTGGTGGGAGTGGAGCAGCTAACACTTTAGGAGAGAAAGGGGACGTAGATGCGACCTACCCCTGTTCGTTTTGCTAAGCTCTTAGTCTATTTAGAGCTTACTGCAGCTCCTCAATTTGTGGCAATAGAGCCGCTTGGGGATTGCTTTCACCCATGCGAGTTCGACCCTCACGATTACGATTGAGAAAAGTCCGAAGGTTGGGTTCCTCTTTGCCTCGGCCAGCGATTCCGGCCACTCTCGACACACGCTGGCTAGAGGTGTGTGATGGCGATGAAAGGTACGGCGTATTTTCACGACCTTCGCGGTGGTAAGAAACGCCCCATGAAGTGTAGGACCCTCTTGCATGGTGACGATTAGGATCGTTTTGCTGGCGGTGATAAGAATCGTCCCGTCAAACACTTTTATGGGTGTGTACTTGCGACGTGGCATGTGACAGCTCGGGCTGCGTCTTTTCACCGAGTCTCAACGAGACTGGTATTCTGTTTGGGACGCGGTCGATGTTTGCTGGACCTTTGGAGCCCATGGGCTTGTTTTTTGCAACTTGCTTACCCTTTCGTCTACGCGCTGTAGTGCTCGCAGCACGGGCTATTTCCTTTTGCCGCTCTTTCGCGTGACCTGCAAGCGTTTTTGGCAGTTGCACCGACGCAGCTGACTTGGATGGCACGTCTTGGTCCAAACGGTCCAACCTTTGGTTGACCGTCTGGAGAGTATTGTCAAACCTCTCCAGGTAGCTTCTAATGGCGAGGTCAAGCTGTGAACTTGACGGGATATCCCCTGCAGCATTTTGCGGGGCTGAAGGTTTTTTGGAAGAAGTGTCCCCTTGGACTTGAGGGAACCCCTCAACGCCCTGGTTGGTTTGCTCAGGTTCTAGTTGGCAGGCCATTTGTTGTTGTAAGACCGGTAAGTTGGAGATTCTCCTAATGAATGATGAACACTAAATCAGGCCCTCCTTCTAGCGCCAAACTGTTGATGCGTGATTTTTACACAACAAAACACACGTGTGAAACGTTAAGCTAGCCCAAAAGACACATGTGAATGTAAAGGAAAATGATCGTAAATGCAATGGGAACAGTTTTTAAAGTGGTTCGAATGCTAAGGTAGCAAGTCCTACGTCCACTAATGCTTGTATTAATGATAAGGGTCAGGTCGCTTTAGCTGATTGAATTTACAATGGTAATACAAGGTATCAAATGCTAAAAATTCTAGAGAGAGAGAGAGTAGCTAATCAAATGTAAAAATATGCGAATCCCCTTGATGAAAGAGGATCTCTCAATTTATAGTGAGATGCATTGAGGTAATGATCACTGAATCTGTAAGGTGGTGGGATTATCCGTGCAAATCCTTCTTTATGTCACATTGCCCATCTTCCAAAGTGATTTGCGCGATTTAGAGCAGAGATTGAACGCGTGGGATCTTCACAGCTTCTGGCTGGCCTAACGTGCACCCACTACTCTGACGAAAGTAGGCTGTGAGTGTACTCATGATCTAACTCTTGCAGGCTGACTGGATCTTACGTCAGTCCTTATATTTTTTAGGCATAACAACAAGCTACTTTCGAGGCCTTCATGTTTTGCATTCTGGGCGCCTGTTTGGTTCCGGTTACTCCATAGTTTTCCGGAAATCAGAGCCCAAGATTGCAGGAGTTGCGCATACTTTTGCTGTGGCTTCCATCGCCACAAGTATTGCAATTTTCTTTTGGGCGGCTGCTTTCTCAGGATTCAGGTCCTGCCTTCCATTATTCCTTAGTATTGTTGCATAAAATGTATTTTATAATAATCTTTTTTCTGTTTTGGTTGCAACTGACCTTATCTACGAATTAATTACTCTTGTAAGGAGGTAGTTGAGAGATTTTTATTATGAGAATTATCAAATCAACTACAAAATAACAACTTTCTTCAATTTTCTCAACAACCCATCAAAGTAAACGAAAATCTCAAAAAAAAAAAAGGAAAAAAAGTCACACAATCTCTTTACCTAATCAGTGCAACGAAATTTCTGACAAAGGAATCACCAAAATGTACAGAGAAGAAACAGCGTGTTCATATAAAAACAACTGAAACCAAAACTGTTCCTAACAGAAATCCGCTTTTGTGAGTGAAACGGGAGTGAGTCAATAGTGGAAGTTTAAAGAAAAGAAAAACAAGAGAGAGAGAGTGTGTGTTGGAGGTGTGAAGCTTCGTTTGGGTAAGTTAATTGATTATAATTAACCTCATCTCCAAGAAAAGAGTAATAATTCAAGTACTAGTTGTCCACTTCTCAAATTTTGGTAACTGTGTTTGGAAATTCTAGCTATAGATAATAGAGTCCTGAACACTAAAACCAAAAATGGAAAAGTGAGAAGAAAAATAAAAAAGAGAGAAGGCAGGTGAAAACTAAATTGAGAAGACAAATAATAATACAAAGATTGGGTCAGTGAAGTGGGGTTGGGTTGGCTTGGACATTACACGGAAGTGGAAGATGCAGAAACTGACATTGCAGAGAGGCTACGGAAACCTTTATTCATCTGTCCTAGTTGGAAGAAGTATACAATGACAAAGCTGACCAATGAATATGTTGCTTTCCCATTTAAGGTTTTTATCTCTCTCCTCTTGTGAATACTAAAGATTCCCTCCTTCTACTTTTAAATTTACTACCAACTCAACAAGATAAGATGCCCTTTTAAGCCTAATTTTTCTCCATTTAAAGCCATACGATAAGTTGCTCCGACCAACGTTGAGCCACATCAAAGAGTTCTCATAGTATGCCGACGTAGATTCACATTAGAAATAGGGTGAAAGTTGCATGAAATTGGACATCGATGCAGGCTACCGTTGGGACACTTTGTGCATTTATGAACACAAACGTCAAAACCGCGTCAGAGTTTATAATTCATTATCCCCGAAGATTGGTGTAGCTCTTTGTCGAAGAGCTCTGTGACTGTAAGTTCCATGAAATTGGACATCGAGATCGCCTGCCTCAATTTTCAGTGGCGTGATTTTGATTTCAGTTACTTGGTGTAACGTAGAGCAAGGGAAGTTCATCCGTCCACAACTCTGATAACATCATCTTAACAATAATGGATATAGGAATTCAGTTGGTATTGAATTACTCCAAAGGATGGTAGTTGTGTAGTCAATTTCTTGAAACAGCACCCACTCATATCACATCATGATATTTCTACCATTAATTAATAATGCATGTTAACAACATGCCATGTGCAATGATTGTAGCCATAGCCAATGCCCACCAGTTAATAATTGTACTAATAAGTTCATATAACAAGAGTCCTTTTTCTTGTACCCAGAAACACAAGATCAACAATTGCATCATTGCTGCTTCAGGCTATAATCCATTATTTTGATATGCCACTGAATGAGTTTGTCTTCAACAAACAGCTGCTAATGTTTTGAACAAAACGTTTACATTGAACACATCAACCTTTAAAAAGGATCAAATAAATAAATATTCAACAACACATAATTACAAGCGAAAAAAACAAAGAGAAAGACACTAGGAAAACTAAGCTTAGTGGATTGCAGCAACAAGTCGAGAAAAACATTAAGTTACAATAACCTCTCAAATATCTAAACCTAATTTGAGTTACAACTCATCATCAATTGCAGCTCTTCCTCTATCCTTCACAAATGAGTTAGCCTTCTTATATTATATTCATTCAAACATCACAACCAATCAAATCACCAAAACCCTCATTCCTGCAATCCATAATCCTCGATCTTCCTCATAATCAACAGAATTCATTCATATTGGACTAAACGAATAACCACTATCTTCCTTCTCTTCTAAAAAAAACACATTAAAACTAACCCCAACAATCAAACACACTGCAAACAAAATTCTTTTGATTGATTTTCGTCGAAACAAAAGAACTGTAACTAAATCCCACCTAATAGAATAACCATTACTCCATGACCCTAATCACTAATTATGCTGAACTACAAATTAAAAAAAAAAAAACCAAAAAAAAAAAAAAAAAATTCTATCCTACCCTTTATCCACAGGCTTAACCATCCCCATACCAGCAATCCCAATCTCCATACCCATCAACTTCTGCCTCCTCATTTCCATCACCTTCCGGTGGGAATTCGAATGCATTTCACTCGAAAACGTGGGGCTACTAGCCGGCCGGTACTCCGGCACCAGCCTACCGGACTTATACCTCACCCCACAAGCGTTACACAGCGTTTTGGGGCCCATTGGGCCGGCCCTCCATTGCGGGGTCTTTTCAGCCCCACAATGCTGACATTTCCTCCCAATACTCACTTTCGAAACAACCGCAACCGGTTTCACAGTTTTCACGTTTTCATGAACCACCCACCACGATTCCTGGTTTTGCAGGTCCCTCCGCCGCGTGCGGCGCCGCTTGCTCCGTGCACGCACCGGCACGCGGATGTTCCCGCAGCAGTTCATTATGATATTTCCATTATTGTTGTTGGTCACCGTGCTGCCGTTCGTGCTCGTACTGGTGGTGGTACTGTGGCTACTGTTGCTGTTTTCAAGAACCGAAACCGGGCTTTGATGCTTCGCATTCGAAATGGGATTTGAAAGAATGTCTCCCAATGTTTCAACCGCCGGGAACGCGTCTTTGTTCGTTAGCCATTCCAGATCTTCCTCTGCAAATTCCTGTTTTAATTATGAGAGTACAGTGTGAGTTCACTCGGCAACTCGGTCGAGTTAGTGATGAATCGATGGATTAGGTGACAATAGTGAAAAGACGTTTTTGCCTAATGGGATTCAAGTCATCAAGTTGACAAGTGGGAATAAACGGACACAAAACAAGGATAAAGTTGTCTTTTCGTTGTCATTTAGCGTAAGTTATTGTACGCGTTTGGACATTTATTGGTACACCTCTAACCTCGTGAGATACAGCTCACAACAATAATGACCCCAAACATTTCCATCTCAAATGTCAAAAGTAACCCTCTTAACATCTTTTAACTTTAAAGAAAATGCCCGTAATGTCCACACTTTCAAAGGGTAAAACTGTCCCAAAAAAAAGAGATGGTGCGCACCCATCAAATACAGAGGCGCGTGAATAATTAGTCCCAACTCCCAACCACAGCTGTCTACGTGCCGGTCAAACGCCATCATTTTTGAATCTTTTTACAAGACCGAGTCAACTCGTAACTCGGAAGAACTCGGCCGATTCGACACGGCCCACACCCTAAAAAACCTAACCGAGTCAGAATCCAGTCAACTCAGCAAGAAACGACCGAGTCCGGGCGAAACTCGGCCATCCCAGACACCCCCAGAACGGGAAAAGAGATTAAAGAAATGAAACTTACAGGGAACGGTGAAGGGCTAGGATGAAGTGGGTCGAAAACGTCGAAGGTGGTGGTGGCGTTATGGTTAAGGGTAGACAAAGCTTTTCTAGGTCTTTTGTTGGTCTTCATCATGATGTGGTCATCGTCCTCTTCCTCGCCTATGTCAGAGGAGAAGTCGAGCAAGTCGTCCATGAAACAAGCCGCTGTGTCTAAAGCATCCATGTTTGTTTCTTTGTCTGATTGTTTGGTTTTACAAAAACAAAAAACTTGAAAAGACGAAGGAGAATGAAGAAGAAAACCCAAGAAAGAGAAATGAAGGAGAGGAAGAGAGAGAGAGAGAGTTTTGGTTAGGTTATTATTGAATGGTTTTTCTTTTGGGTGGGAACCAAGCGAGGGGATGTCGATTTTTTGCCTTTCTTTTTTCTTTTAATTTTCTTACTTTTCTTTTATAACGTATAAAAAAAACTCACTCACAGTTTCTTTCCTAAACCGTACACTATTCAGACAGATTTTTAATTTAATTTCTTACTAATCTTATTTAATTAAAATTAATGTTCGGATTTTGGTTAATTTTCAGAGAATAAGGGCCGTGTGATGATAATTAGATGGAATGGGATCCACCTAACGGTAATTAAGGAAAAGATTGGAAAAGTGAACCGTACTTATAATACATTTCTCTTTCCAATTATATCACGTGGTTTTTCCTTGTTTTATACATTTCTTCTTTTTAAGTGGGTCGATAAGGGATATAAAGGTAAATACGAAGGATTGCTGAGGGCAAATGAGGAATGATAATAACAAGGTAAAGGAGCGGGCCGCTTACGCAACGGCCTGCCCTAAAAGGACGACCAAACCGAAGTTTCTCCCTCCCAATCAGCTCCAATAAACACGTCATTGGTCCAATGAGATACCGACACGTGATTGATAGAAAACATAGTTGTATTTTTATTTTTAGTTGAAGTCATTGACCATTAGTAGTTAGTAAAATAATAGTCACCTCCAAGACAGCGCACGTGGCGGCGAGGATCTTGTGATTCTGTAGTATGCAGTTGCATGTTAGTCCAAGTAGGTTGAGGTTCAGATACACTTGATTTGACTTCTCTTGATTGTTGTTCTGTGGGGCCTCTTCTCTTGCATGTGTACAGTATTTTTGCATGTGAGTGGGCCCGTGTCCCATGTTACTACTCTCTTTGGGTGGTAGCGGTAGTTGGTAAATGCAATTTCTCCATCTAAATCAATCAATTTAATTAGTTTATTCATCAATTAATATTCGTATTAACAGTTAATCATATTATGAATGCTTAATTAAATAAAATTTGAGTTAAGAGAGAATCTTAATCCCTCAGTGGACACTTGTAACATATTTCAAGCCAGCCTTCGATATGATTTTCAATTATATTATAATATAGTTTCAATAGGACATTATTAATAAAATTCGTCATGCCCATATGAAAACAAATAGATAGCGTATAACTATGTCGATATAAGTATAACCGGATGATACAGATACAGATGTAAATAGTAAATACTCGATGTTTGACTATCCTTCTTAATATATAAATTTATTTTTTGTCATCTTCTTTTGTCACGTGATCATTAGATAACTCTACAATTAATATACATAAGCATCACTGACTGTTCAACACTTGGACTTGACCAATGACTAAGTAATGGATCTATTTGATGAATAAGGAGGGCTCTTAAATGTTGAATAAAATAAACGTGTTGATCAATATTCCATGTTAACTGGCCCTTTGACAATTTAGTTAATGCCATATGTAATGAATAGTGTAAAGACAATGACTGTTTGATAAGAAAAACGAATTAAATTCTTGCAACCATCCCATAATATCTTCTTATTTTGAAATCACCTAACATTACGGTAATTGTTGATGAGAATTTCCGCACTGGCTAGAGCATTAGGAAGAAGACACGCGTCAACTAAAGATACTCGATTGACTCTGGGGAGAACGAAGTAAGATGGGTGCATGATTCTTGAAAATTAGTATAAGGGACCCATGTAATATGCTGTGGCGATTAAGGTGGCAATGTGTCTCTCGAGAGATGATGAGACAATTAGACGTTTTTAAAGTAATTCGCACAAAAAGAGAATAAGACCTACGTTCACTGATATGTTATTTGATTGTATAAGCTTTGGAGATACAACAATTTGGGTTTTTCTGGTGATCGGAGAAAGGTTTCCAGCTTGCTTTTCAGCCAAAAGTTTAGGATTAGAGGGAGACGTGTTGATAACTTTGTCTCCCCCTTTTTTTTTTTTTTTTTTTGTCTCTTTTTGGGAATTTGCCTCCCCTTTGGCTGTTGTCGTTTTTATATGGAGAGAGAGGGCTTCAAATTGTTAGGATGGTGAGCCTGTTAGCCACGTTGTCCTATACCGCATGGCGGCTAGAAGCTTACATGCCCCTACGCCATAACTAATGATGGATGTCCTCTCTAACAATGGGTGTCTTTACATATATCATCTTGGCTTAGCTGCATGGAGAGCATGTGGAGTTTGCATGGCTGCTTGTTGCTCGATCGAGGTATGCAACCTATACGTGGTGATCTAATCTGACCAAGTGAGTAGATATTTTCTCATGATGGGTCCCTTTTTTTATCTCGTCACACCTTAGGTCCGTGTATGGGGGTCGATTACTCGCACCTATTGCCAAGCTCCTCTAGTCTCGAGCTTGATGCTCTGCACAAGGACGTGCCCTAGGCTTCTCTATTTAGTCCGGGTTGAGGATTTTTAAAGCATAACAGTAATTAAAAAGAATTAAATGTGTAAAACTCTCTCATGAGTTTATTTAGAATAATGTTATACCATATTTTAAATTAACATTTAAAAGAAACTCCCGTGCCCAAGTTAGAATTATTGTATCACATTAGAAAAAAATAAAGAGTAATAAGAAAATATTCAACATCTTTCCATGGAGATTTGACTTTCATTTCATCTCGTTTCTTTGTTTTTGTCTAAAATATGATAACACCTTTTCTTTTTAATTTAAATAACTCTGTCAAATGGTCGGGATATTTTACTCAAATACTATATAAGATGCTACGTGTCACCTAAACGTCTCTTTGGAAAACTCATTGATTGATATGGTATTTTTTATATAGAAAATTTCTATTAATATATTCATGATATATAATATGGTTCTATTATTATGTATAGTTGTGTTGATGTTAATATTTTTAACAAAATAATTTTCAAGTATTAACAGAAAAGGAAATTTCTGACGGGAGAGAAGAAGAGGAGAGGAACAGATAATGTTACCAAGGAAGAAAATGACTAGTGTGATATTAAGAGGCGGAGATTGATTGTGGAATTGATGCCACCCACTAATTCATTGCCTCAATCGTGGTGGCCACTCCTCAGTCCTTTCATCCACCCACTAATTAAGAAAACAATTATCACTTCAACGTATTATATAACATATGATCAATTAATACTTTCATATCAAACATTAAGATAATTGATACTTGTCTAAAGAAATACTCTATTAATACTTGATTTACGTTATTAATTTATTATAATGTTATCAATGGTATTGGACTATTGCATTGATACCCAAACTAAAGCTTCAATAACTAATTCCATTTATGCTGCCTTTAACTCTATGGTAACTGTCAACCTTTATATTCTTAATTATATATAACCTAATGTGTTTAATGTAATAAATAATTTAAGCACGTAATCTCATAAAATTGTAAGTAAATTATCTGAGGGCTACCTTGTAACAAAACCCATTGTATTGTCACAACTTGGTTTTGCATATCTGTTGAACTAATCGAAAGATAAACATCCCCAAAAATTCTAAACCTACTTTATCTTATAACATAAACCACATATTCATGCAGAAGCCTCAACCTCTCACTAAATATCTAAATATTAAATATAATTAAGTATTAAATTAGGTCTAACCTAATAAATGATTAACCTTTTATGAGGGACAAGAAACATCGAGTCGGGTGGGAATGGGACATTTAAGCTTTAAAACTTCACCTATCAACTTCAAATGCCAAAATCACAAATTAAAACATACTTATACTGCTACTAAAATATCCCACATTTATTTAAAAAAGTGCTTTTGGGATAATCTCATAATTTAATAGCTTAATGGTTAAGATATTGTAAAGTAAAATTTTGAAACAAATCCTTATTCATTCATCCCACACAATCTAATGCCTCAATACTTATTGACTTAACATTCAAAATAACTAATTCTAATCAACCCTTAGGTGCTCGAGTGGTTCAATAAGGATTCTTGAGTGTATTATTAAAGAGGTTATGAGTTTGAATCTCTTTTCGGTTGCTAATGGGGGTGGCTACTAGAGCTATTACCTAGCAGGTGTTTCAAAGTTTCGAAGAGTTAGTTGAGGTGCGCGTAAGCTGACTCGGACACCCCCAGTCATTAAAAAAAAAAAAAAAAAAAANTTAGGTGGTCGAATGGTTCAATAAAGACTCTTAAGTGTATTATTAAAGAGGTCATTAGTTTGAATCTCTTTTCGATTGCTAATGGGGGTGACTACTAGAGCTATTACCTAACAGGTGTTTCAAAGTTTCGAAGAGTTAGTTGAGGTACGCGTAAGCTGACTCGGACACCCCCAGTCATTTGAAAAAAAAAAAAAAACACACTATTTCTAACTTGTCTTCCTTGATCATTGGATTGACTCGAGTCAATGGATAACGATTTAGGTCAAAAAATTTGTTTTACAATAATTTTACTTTATAAATAAATAATAGGAAAAAAAAAATTGGCGTGGCTCTAGCTTGACACGAACAAATGCTTCGCATTCTGGATCTAGTGCTTCGTATATAGGCCTAGGCCCAAAATTTGATTAGCCCTAATTATCTATCCTGCCTATATGGGCCAAGGCCCAAATTTGATTAGCCGTAATTTATATCTGGCCTATATGGGCCTAGGCCTAATGGTTGGTTGGCCCAATTTATCAGTTGGGCCCGACCTGTTTTATACCTCTAATAACAAAATAGGCAACTTAGAAGTTAATAAAATGTCGTCGTTTTATTGCCCCGTCTCAAAGCTTCCGATTTTATCTCCACTATACACGTGGTAGCCAGATAAAGCCCCGGCCTTCAAAGCTAAACTGAACTAAACTCTTTCCAGCTAATTCACCAAGCGAAGAAGCAGAGTTTGGTCTCTCGTTATCCGTTTTGAAGATTTTGAAAGCCAAAAACAGTTTTGCATGGAAGTGAATTGAAATGAATTTATGAACCCCTTTGTGTGAAAACGAAAAATATGCAGAATTTGGCTCTCAGTAAACCATTGGTTTCAAGAGGGAAACATCCCTTGTTACTTCTTGTTGATTCATTGCCATCTTGTGCTAAGTTATCTACAAGTCCCCTTTCACGTTCATGTAAGTTCTATTTTATCTTTATTAAAC